CATCCAACGGAATGGAGACAACACTACTGTTCTTGAAGAAAGTATGGTTATGTGAAAGTATGTAATCAGAACTTTATTCACATACACACACAATGAAAGAAAAGTACAGAAACACACACACAGACGCACATAGGGAATGAAAGAAAGAAAAAGTACAAAATTACCATAGCTAACTACTTAGGTCATTACTCTATGGCATGAATAAGACATTAGACTAAGAAAAAGAGCCTTGTCCTCAGTGTGAATTGTTTGGTAACCAGGCTTAATAAGAAACAAATAAAATAAATGCTCATGACCAAATTGTGATGTTATGGCTCTAACTAAACTGACCCCAGTTCCCCCAGTGAATTTCAGTCCTGGATTCCAAAGACTTAAGCAACAAAAAACCACTACGTACTTGCTTTTTAGTTTGAATTCAGACACTGTGAGCAGAAATAACCTGCTTCGAATCTTCTATGCGTGTGGTGCAAGGGTGTTTGTCTAGGATCAGATGCCAATATTTAACCTTATATTGTAGGCATGGCAGATACTTAAGATGCTGTGGGCTAATTAAAGGCATCACATTCCCTTTCATTTTCTTAAAGACAACACCAAAAAAGGGTTCAGCTTTTTTATAATAGTGTATGCAAATACTTCCATCTGTTTCTCTGTGCAGTACATTTGATTTCATTAACAGAAAAGACATTAAATTTTACAATCAATAGCTGTACAATTATCTATAAACTGCTAAAAAGAAATATATGCTAAATATTATGAAAACAATTTGATAAAAGCCAGCATCCCAAAACTTTTTTGAAAAAATGTTAGCACACACATGGAAATAAACAAACCCTGAGGTGCCCTGAGCTTTAAAGTCAAATATAGGGTTGTTTTCTAAATAAGATCTCTTTCAAGGGTCAATTGATTTGTTAACAGAAAAATGACTATCTACTCCTTTAAACAAGGGGATTTGGGGATGGGGAGGAAAGAGGTGAAAAGGGGGCACAAACAGAAAAATGACTATCTACTCCTTTAAACAAGGAGATTTGGGTATGGGGAGGAGAGAGGTGAAAAGGGGGCACGGTAGTTGTTGACTCATCATCTAGGAATAAAGGGCTTGAAAAGGAGTAGCACAGCACTGGGAGCCTCTCTCTTTACACACCTCAACCTCAACCTGCCTGTCTTTCCAGTGGTAAAATACCAAGTTTGGTCAACAACTGCTGTGCGTAATACACCGTCCATTCCTTTCTTAGAGGTGCTGGGAAGGTATTTTTTCCTTAAACCCATGTCAAATATCTCCTCTTCTTCTTTCGGCATAGCCAGACAACAAGCATAACTCACTTGGTAAAGGGAAAACTAAAATCATAGCCTTAGTACGATTGGCTGGAAAGCACTGATCACAAAGAAAGATGAAATAAGTAATTATAAGATAGAGAAGAAAAATAACAAAAGGCATTACCGCTAGGCAAATGTCTAATTAAACTACCTTATTATGACATAGCTAATAAAAATAAAGACTGATTAACTGATACTTACAATATAGTTTCTTAAATTTTGTATGGATTCCCTCACTTTTTTTTTTTTTTTAAACACAAAAGAATTTAGTCACTATAATCTATTTATTCAGCCTCAAATGGTAGTATTCTTCTAGGGACATCATTAAAAATACATCCATCATATGGACAATATGGTGGATACAGACTTCTAAAGCAATGAGTATAAAACACACACTATAACTATATATTTTGTCCCTTTTAACCAGATAGATATAATCCCTATTTTAAGGTAAATTCAGAGACATTTTCATGGTTAGAGAACTCTGACAGATGCTTAAAATACACGGTCTCCGATCCTGAAAAGTTACTACATAAAAATAGTTATCTTCTTACTCCAGGGATTGCTCACTATGTACATTCACAGTCATATCTTTCTTCACTGAAAACACTTTTTAATTTTTTTTCTTCTGAAAGCCAAAGCAGAATCAATTCGATAATTACCGCAGGCACTCCCAATCTGTGGCACATATATTCCAGTGATATTCGAGACATCTCTAAGGATATACGGGAAAAACTGTGTAATGGTATATTTTATTTATTGCATATTCAGAGTAGTGTACTCAGACAAAGCTTTAAAAGTCTGTAGGAATTTATTACATAAAATACAGTAATTAAGGTACATCAAGATATGCCAATGAAACACAGATACACTGAGGCACTGCAGTCCCTCACTTCCAACTATCCATTCCAAGTTCAGAATGTAAGGCTTTTTTTTATATGGCATACTGTATCTGTTCATAATACAGATAGATGTCTAAAGTGCAGGTAGTGTTAGGAACAACACACAAAGTATCACTGATGAGAAGGGATTGGGTACACACGCAGCTCGTAGATCTCAAAGAGGATATACAATAAAAAACTTTGGAAACCTCTGAATCTGAGGATGCACCATATTTTAATCTAGCTCATAGCTATCAATACTACTGATATCTTATTTTATTTGCATTTTCAATTCAGTTCATCTTTCTTCAGACTTGTTGTAACTGAGGACAGCAGACAATAGACTTGCACAATGACAATGAGAGCAAAATAGCTTTGCAGAATTTTTATCATCAATGAAACGCGAAAGCGAGAAAGTAAAACAGGCAGACTTTAAGAATTCATTTTAAGTTTGTAGGCATACAGTTAGAAAATCCTTAATTTTAATTAAACCAATCTGAAATACAATCATTGAGAGAAATGTGGAATATCAATATCCTCATTTCTACTTAATTCCATTTTAGAGGAGAAATTCACTTTTATTTCCAGACAACCGTTTGTATAGATTGGAAATTAATTGGGACCATAATTGATTGATCTTTTTAACACCATCTTCATTTTCCTTAATACTCCAGAATATCCTAGCATTATTTCCGTTATGAAAATGAAACTGTTTGGTAAATGACATGTGGTGACCTCCAGCAATGCTAAAATTAAAGGTCTACTGGATTGCCATTATGAACAAAAATTCAATTTAGTTGCTTTACATAAGTTTGCATGAGGCTACAACATGAATCAGAATTCCTCCCCACTCTCAAGATGTGAATACACTGTTGAGCTAAGACAGAGCACGTTTACTGGTCTATCAAAATATGCTTCAGGGAGCTTATGTGAACATTATTTATTTTCCAACACATGTTGAGGTATCTTTAACATTTCGTATTGTATCTTATGTGCATAATACAGAATGTTAACTCATTCCATTACAGATCTTTCACACAGATGAAACCTTTCCATACATATCAAGAATACTATTCATAGCATTCTTAAATATATGGAAGCTGCAGCAAGAATACATCATTTCCTGAAACTCCAGGCCCAAAGAAATCCTGAAGTTGAAATTACAAACACTGTGAATGACCTACTACTACAGGTTGAACTTCTTTAGTCCAGCAGCCTTGGGACCTGACTAGTGCCAAACCACAGGAGGTCAATATTGTCTATCAGCATTACCAACATTCCTACTGCTTAATGAGCTCTTGGAAGATATTTAGGGTAAATTAGAGCTGAAGAACAGCACAAAATACTAGGAGCTGGGACTAGTGGCTTTAAAGAAACTTTATAGGACCATGAGAAACTTAGCCACATCCATGATAAGAGGACATCCAGTGAACTAAAATCATGCCAGACCACAAATGTTGTCGGATAAGAGTGTGGCAGACTAGAGAGGTTCAGACTGTACAATGTAAACGTTAATCTGGAAGTTTTCATTGACTTCCGTTAGATTGAATACTTTTCCTGGGAGGCACAAACTTATTTTCCAATAAAAGGAATGTTGGTGGAATGTTCTTTTTATCAGTCTTTTCCTCTTGTTTTTAATTAAATTAAAACAAACCAAACCAAATGCAAAACATTCCATTTATCATATGGTCTACCTTTAAACCAACAAAGGCACAAACATTTCAGACCCAAGATTGAAATTCTAATCTTAACCTACCCGCATGTGCTCAGGAATTTTCATCTCACATTATTCTAGACCTCCTAGAATACATAATCTGAATAGGGTAAAGTAAGGCAAGCTAGTAGCCTTACTTCTCTCTTTTTGTGTTCTAAGCCACATATTTGGAAGGATCTCTTTCCATTCAAAAATGTAATATTGATGTCTAGTAGAAAAGATGTCATTAATTTGCTGGCTATTTGTCAGACAGTGCTGGTGCTTTGAGGATACACAGGAATGTGAGTCACCTTCAATCTGTTTTTGAAAGATTCTGTGTGGCCTCACCATAGCATTATCATCAGTGAAGCCAGATGCAACAAATAAACACCATGAAAATAAAGAGGCAAGAGAGCAGTAATGCAGAAAGGCTATGGCAGATAACCCTCCTATCTGAAGATTAGCAATCAGTTTAAAAATTGGAAGACAATGCACACTTACCCAATTTCAGTGCAGAAGAAGTCACCTCAATCTCACCACCAATTGGCTGAAAGGCGGCCAGCTGTGCAGTCACCTCGGACTCAAAAGGGTCTGGGCTGAGCCTGTCTGTCAAACTGTCATTGGTGCAGTCAGTCTTATTGTGCAATTCTTGTTCATCATACACAGCAATCAACTGTAAAACCAAAGATATTACAGTTTATACTTAAAACGTGGCTGGCATGGATTTCCAGTACAAACACTGTCTTGGTGGTACAATACAATTATCAAGAAGATTTGAAAATGACAGATGATAGAGGCACAGATTCAGGAAAGCACTTTCGCTCATGCTTAAGCCTTCGGTGGAACTTGCACATGTTCTTAAACAGTGACCTGAAAAGACATGCTTTTCTGAATCAGGACCACAATGTGCTGTCACTATTAGTTAGCAACTTAGTATAGTGGAAAAATATCTTAGGATTTTAATTCCAAATATCTAATTAAAATAATCCATATTTCAGCCATAAAAAAATAAGACTTATCTGAAACACGGCTTCTGTACTCCTCAAGGCCAATGTTCAAAAAATAAAATGGGGAGGAGAAATCCAGTTAGCCAAGTTTAAACACCCTGTTTTTAACAGATCTCAAAGTACAATGAGCACGTACATGTACGATAAATTAGGGGTATAAATAATTTCTTTGTATTCAGTTTATCTTCTGGTAAATGAAAAAGGACAATAGGGGAATGCTGTGTTCTTACAATATTATAAGGTATTTACAAGACAGCATGGCCAAGAATACAAAATAACATTTCACGATCTCTTATTTTTTCACTTTTAAAATCCTAGTGTCATTTACATTGGAGAGCTTTTGTGAATTAAATTTAAGGAACATGTGTCATGTGATCCATGCTCAGTGTATCCGGACTTGCGTCAACAGTAGAGAAAGTGATTGCAACAGTAGCAACAACTTCATAGTCAGTGTGTCCATTGAGGCACTTCTCTCATTCTATACTTTCAATAGACATATGCTGCCCACTGACTGGTTTCTACAGTTTAGGGTGTACTTTTAAGATTTATTAAGAGATTAATTTTGTGTCTACTAAATTTGAAGAAAAAAAAAGATCACCATTCACTTTCTAGTTATCTCCAAAAAACAAAGCAATAAGATTGGCATTATTTTTTAATGTATACATTTTACAGAGTTTGTGCGTCTGTCTGCGAGTCCATCCATCGGTCTGCAAGTCTATTTCTTCAAGAACTCCTCCTAAACTATAAGAGCTAGGGCCACCAAATTAGGTACGCAGCTTCCTCTTATCCTAACTTAAAGCGAGGACAGAGATCGGATGTGTCAGGAAAACAGGATGAATGTAGAATGGAATTGTTTTCCATAACATGGAAAGGGAAAAGACTGGTTGGAGGGACAGCTATATTGCCAAGTGACCACATGGGATGGGGCTGTCCAAGTTGCTGGCCACTGGACCAGGTAAGTGGCCTCTCTGTCC